TTTCTTATTTAATTGTTCTAAATTGATATCATAAAGACCTTTTTTGAAGCAAAAATAACTATATTGTGATATATATATACAGTATATATATATATATATATATATATTAGTGCTGTCAACCGATTAAAAAAAATTAACTAATTAATCGCACATTTTTTCTGAAATTTATCGCAATTAATTGAGATATAAACTCCGAATTGTGAGGAAAAAACGTCAGAATTGTGATCGCAATTATTTTTTTATTCCATGGCAGAAATAAGCTTCCATACCGATGTATTCACTCATTCTCATTAGTTGTCACATTTTGTTGCTTTTCATTTGCATAAAAACTTTGTTGCATCAATGGATAAACCTACGCTGCATCACAGGAAATCAACAACTACAACTGAAAACAAACAGCTTCTGGTTGCGTTTTCACTATGAATTGCTATAAGTGTGAAGTTCACCGCCCCTGTAGAAAAACGTGCCATAGTCAAGATCACAGCTCGCTCCGTACACGGCTTAAACCAGCAGCTATCTGGTTATCCACCCTGAGCTTTCAGTCACTGCACTACACCAGCTTGGTACAGCTGAATAACCCACACACGGCCCCACAGAAGCCTGGGATTGAGCAATGGAGGTGGGGAATGCACCTGGCGACGGGAGGAACGGGGGGCGGCTGCTATTTTTATGTTGAGTTTGACAGTTGGGCGGCTGATTGGGTGCAGAGCGAAAACTGATGCCATCTCGGCGCAGTGAACGCTTGAAGCCTACATGGAGACCTTTAAGAGTGCTGGAGCCATGAGCAAGACCCTACACCTCCATCAGGCTCCCTGCTTCAGTGTCTTTTACACATCAACATAACACATGCACACACCTTAAAAGGCAGCACAACGCTCACAGGCCAACCTACTGACCTACACTCGAAAGAGCACATAACTCAGAGCCCTAAGAGGCACACTCAACAACACTAGATCTCAACTGATGGGTCGCAACCCAAAATTGAGATTTGAGTCTGTTTTGATTGGGTAGAGCTGAATACAATACAATAAAATAATCATCAACTTTTTAAATGAAGTAGAAATTAGTCCAATGAAACAAAAATCATTTACTCTATTCAGTTCATAAATACTAATCTATTAAATTTGAATATATTTATGAATAAATTATAAATACATTGTAATGGTCATCTATAAGGACATTTAAATGTGTCCAACACTGACCTGAGTAGCAAAACACCACAAGTGTAAATGCAAGGGGAAATTACATGGCATTAATATCTATTAATGTATTCAAAAATACACTAAAATGTGAATAATTCTTAAAATGTTCAAATACACCTCTTCTATGAGTAGGCTTTTAATTTCTGATACTCATTGTGTTATTTTTTTTCTTAACATCAAGGAAAAATGCATTAAAATATAACAATAAATTAAAGACAAATTCTTGACAAATCATCAAAATTTGGCATCAAAATGTATTTTTTTGAATCAGCTTCACTGTTAATTAATAACAATTAAAAAAGTTACTTGTAATCATATTTATTTATTCATTTTACAAATAATTATTCATCGTTTTTTTTTATTAATAAATTAAATGTATATTTTTATTTATTTATTTATTTTTAATAACGAGGTATACTCACATGTATTCAAGGTGTTACACCATTGTACTTAATGGTTACATCATTAAGTAAAAACCACATGGCATGACAACATTTTTATTCACGAGTCATTCAAATTAAGCTTTTCTTGAAAATGGATTTGAAGTTTTCCAAAAGCAGCATTAATACAAAGTACACGTGCATTGTAATGTAGATTTTTTAAATAATTTTCCTTTTATCACACCCATATCACGTCATGAAAGGAAATCAGTCCGCTTTCTATTACATGCGCACATTTTTCAAGTTTAGCTGTGCAAGTTTTGCTTCACTGTCTTCATGACCAAAACCACATTTTACATTGTCAAAAACCACATTTAGATCTTCCAAGAACCAAAGTGAGTCAAACGGGCCTGCACGTCATACCGAAAACTTTAAAAGAGTGAGTTTAATCTCTGCCGCTGCCTTGTGTGACGCAGAGACGGAGGTGACAAGGTTGTGTGTGGCATGTGTGCATGCGGTCTGTCTCTGACGGATGTACCTGTGGTGCAAAACTGATACTAGGTCTGGTTTTATACACGCTTACTAGTGCACTTTTGTGTTTGAAACCTTCAACTTTGGCATTAGAAAAGCAGTTTCGGGGAAATCAAAGCCAGTACAAAATAAAGGAAGCCAAAACTAGATTTCATTTGACTGATAACTCAACTGAATAACAAATTAAATTTAGATGATGTGGTTTGATAATGATTAGCTTCTTTATAGATTAAATTTTTTTTATAAAAAGCTTATTTATAAGGAAAAAAAAGAGAAAGTAGAAGTCATTAGTAAGGGATGATGGGGGCATTGTAGGACAGAGACTGTAACAACACACACACTGCAGTTCAGCAGCAGTCATATCCAATAATTCAGACCGCAGCGTAACGGCCATATACACAAAACTGCACTGCCATTTCAAAACAGGCCCAAAATAAAGTTTTCCATCACATGCACCTGCAGAAAAGTCTCCGTTTTCTCTATGCAGTTAACTGGCCCTTTACTTTATATCGCATCCCTGCCAGACACTGCGACATCACCAAGGTAACTCAGAGCAGGACAAACTGAGCGCTCAACCCTCCTCCGAGCATAACCAAGCAACAGAATCAAGTTATATAATCAGCACAGAATTTCATTGATCAGCCGTTATATGCCAGGATATTCAAGCAGCCGCTCTCAAGTCAACAATTACAGGGCAAAGTCCCACACAGCTTTACACTGTTGCATTAAAACAAAGCAATTCAATATCAGAAAACAATGAATTTGAAATTTGCTTCCGAGTCATTTAAAAATGGATCTTTTAAGATTTGCTAATGGAAAATATATATTTTATAAAAGAAAAAAAGTAAACTTCAACTACATTAACTGTTAATTATTAAAACACTGTTACGTTAAAACACTAAAAAAATATAACATTAATAATAACATGATTAAATAAATTTTTATACATCTGATTATATTAACTGAATATTAATTAATTTTATATTCATATATGAATATTTTATATACATATATATATTTCATTTTTAAAAATAACAAATTTTATATATATATATATATATATATATATATATATATATATATAGTATGTGTGTGTGTGTGTGTGTAATATAATATTAAAAATTAAGTATTCACTAATATTTATTAATTTTACATACAGTGGTGTGAAAAAGTGTTGGCCCCCTTCCTGATTTCTTTTTTTTTTTTGGCCTGCACTGCTGCTCCATTAATGCTATTCTAGCCTAATATATACACATATATCAACACGGTGCTATAATTTCACAGCCATTTTACAGTACTGATATTATTTGCACATTATATGTTTATTATTCTGTTGAGCTGCTCGTGGCATTAACTTATAGAGCAACCTAAATCGCCATTGGTTTCAAGAATGTCCTGTGTGTTTGTATAGCCTAATTGTTTCTTTGGATTCATTAGTAAATCAAGGTTTGTGGTTAATATTACTTTCATGTTTTGTTCTAAAATATAAATTACCCACAGTAATTTGAATTTGCTGTGATTTGTAAAAAATAAGTTGCTGCAACAGATGTCTGATTTGTCAAGCATAAACTCACATTCTTGTGGTTGTAGTCCTCATTCAGCAACATTATGTGTGGATCATTTAAGCCATAGAGTGCTGTTTTTGTTTTATAAACCATATAATTTGTAATTATTTAAGAGTGAAATTTAAATTTTTGACTAGAATGTTCGCCATTCAAAATCTAACCAAGTCGATTGCGTATAAGAATTTGCATACTGGCTTGCGATTGGTCTCCATTCTTGAATTTATTTGCATTATCATTGTGACTTCCAATTACGATGGGCCTGGTCTTATATACATAAACATACCAGAAACCAGTCATAAGGGTGAATTATATATCAATATATAGTTCACTATATAGTTCAATCGATACACTTGTTATATAGCTGAATAAATAAGCTTTCCATTGATGTAAGGATGGTTAGGATAGGACAATATTTGGCTGAGATACAACTATTTGAATATCTAGATTCTGAGGGTGCAAAAAAATCTAAATATTGAGAAAATCGGTTTTAAAGTTGTCCAAATGAAGTTCTTAGCAATGCATGTTTTGATATATTTACGGTAGGACATTTACAATATATCTTCATGGAACAAGATCTTTACTTAATATCCTAATGATTTTTGGCATTTAAAAAAAAATCTATAATTTTGACCCATACAATGTAAAGTTGGCTATTGCAACAAATATACCCCAGCGACTTATGACTGGTTTTGTGCTCTAGGGTCACATATGGTAGAAATAAGGGACAAACCCAGCAATTGGGTTGTTTTGACCCAGTGGTTGGGTTACTACCCAGAAGGTTGGGTTAAACATTTAAAACAGCTGGGTCAAAACAGCCCAATTGCTGGGTTTGTCCCTATTTTACCCAGCAGTGGGTTGTATTTAACCCAGCATTTTTTAGAGTGTATCCATCCTAAATTCTATGTGATATTAGTCATTTTCAATAGGCCTACTATTTGGGGCAGATAGGGTGGATAGTGTGCACATTGCAAGTAAACAATTCAAAAAAATTCTAATCCTGTATAAAGCGTGAGCTGCAGTGTGTTGTGTGCTCAGAGCATTTTCCAGTGGCATGTCACTGCAGGCTTTAACAACGGAAATAAACAGCAGGGTAAAGATATACGGCCATCGTGAATCGTGGTATGAGTCTCTTGACACAACGCTCCTCTCACTGTAGCATTTTGCCCACGAATGCAGTGTCAGAGGAGCGTGGCTATACAGCTGACACGAGCGTGCAGTGAGCCAGCACACACACATTCCACACTTGCGTCTATATTCGCAATGTCTGTAGAAGACGCATCTATTAATAGTCAACATTTCAGCGCACAGACAGACACACTCACCTAAACTACCGGCGAAACCGTCCATTTCTGGGGTAAATATCCAGGGAGATATTCCTGGGGCGACTGGGGGAATTCGTCCTCTATTTGAGAAGAGAGGGAAGAGCTCGTGTAATGTCACACCGGCTCCACCTGATGCGCTTAAATGCAAGAACAACGGGACGACCAACTGGCGGCTGGATCTCCGTCCGGATAACGCAGCGCTTTTCTGGGGCAGTCGATCACGGCGGCTCCCTGAGCTGCTCCACCACGATCGTTCACACCTCCGGCGGGGGAGGGAGTATAAGGAGCGCTGGGCTTTCGCGTTTCCGACTCCGCCTGCTTTGGCACGGCAAGCTTCCCTTCAGACGCAGAGCAGCGCTCACTGCTGCCCAAACCCGACTGCGCAGTGCGACGCGCTCTGACATTACGCAGCATCTCAGTACGACAGCTCTCTAGTACTCTAGTGCGCACTGCTGCCCTTATGAGAGGACCACTGGTGTCTCAGTAGAGTGGCATTTGTTTGTTTGTTTATACAGTTGTGTATTTATTTATGCTTGTACCTCAAATAATTGAAACGCTGCTCCTTGTATATGCATTTATAAATCTTAAAAAAACAAAAAACTGCAAGTATAAGGTTTTTTAGACATGGTACCATCTTGACATCATGACAATATCATTGCATTCTTCTGAAGTACCTGAATACCAACCTGATACCAAAAGTGTATTTTGATTAGTCTATAGTCTGTCTATGTAGCAGTGTGGCATAATCCAACCGTCATACTTGGTAAAGATACCTTCATTGAAATGGACTTGGACACATGAGTAATTTAAAAATATCAAAATATCAGTTTTCTCTTTAAAATGTAGCAAAGTACACTTCCACAAAAAGTTTATACTAAGTGGAAATTTCCAAAAACTGCAGTACCGAAGCATAAATTGGTGAAAACCTTTCCCATACAGAAAAAATAAATTTCAAAATATACAAAAAATGGCCAAAATATATATATTTGCTAAAAAAAAAAATCAAAATGTATGTAAAAAAATATTTTTACTAATATACAATTGCCGTTTTTGTGTATGGTTTTAAAAAAAAATGTATATGTATACATATCTGTTGAAAATCTGTTTTCAGAAATATAGCCTACAAAAAAATGGCAAAAAATATATATTTGCTAAAATATGTTTCAAAATATATTTACGTGAATATATTTTCTGCCAATATATTCTTGGCCCCTTTTTGCATATTTCTTACAATATATTTTAAAATGTATAGAGCATTCAAAAATATATTTTTCCCTCTATATATATTCAGTCCAAAAAAATGCATTCATATTTGAAGAAAAGCTTGATTTGTTGTCTATAACACGTGTATGTAACTCATGTGAATAAACTTCAGCAAGGAACATAATTTAAAATGCTCCAAAGAATGCAATATTGGCTACAGAACAAGCCCAAAATCATTAGTCCTCCAGCATGTGTGACTTTTGGTATGAGGTGTTTGTGCTGATATGCTTGTTAGGTTTTCACCAAATGTCCTGCTGTGCATTATGGCCAAACATCTCCACTTTGGTCTCATCATTTGGTCATTGTTCTAGAAGACATATGGCTTGTTCAGAAGCAACTTTGCAAACCTAAACCGTGCTGCCATGCTTTTTTAGATAGAAGAAGCTTTCTTCTGACAAGCCAACCCATATTTTTCTAACTGTACTGTCATGAATTTGACCATTTAACATGTTAACTGAGGCCTGTGGAGCCTGGGGTGAAGTTCTTGGGTTGTCTGCCATTTCTCTGAGCGTTACATGGTCTGATCTTGGGGTGAATTTGCAGGGACATCCACTCCTGGAAGGATTGGTGTCTGTTTTGAATGTCTTCCACTTGTGAATAATCTACCTCACTGTAGAATAATGGACTTCATATTGTTTGGAAATGGCCTTATTACTCTTCCCAGATTGATGGCAGCAACAATTGCTTCTCTAAGATCATTGCTGATGTCTTAGATAGATAGATAAATCTATAGAGTTTATCAAGTATGATATTATGACCTTGCTCCATGCTGTTTTGTAAGATAGAAAGGAAGGGTTAAAATGTGGTTGAAGGACATCTGCCCAACAGGTGCCCACTGTTAGTTTTTAGCACATTGTGTTGGGGTTCACTGCACACTGGACCATTAAGGTAGTAAGCAAGGAAAACGCTCACCCATGAATTGTTAAACTACTGCAGTGTGACTGCAAATTCTACATGCCAAGAAATATTTCACACGGAGAATTCCAATGATTTAACAGGGATTCTATAAGCTATTAGTGCTTCTAAAGTGGAATGTGGGGTATTCCACATTGGAGATTCAAATCATTTGATTAAGCGAGTATGGAAGGCGCCAGTAACAATGCACAGTCTGGCCATTCAGCACTGGACTGGACCAATTAGAAGAAAACAGAATAGTGTTTTGGTGAAGCAGTGAAATACCAAAGGTTCAGACTATTGTGTAGAGCAAACAGACGATCTCTGTGTGTGACTGCTGCTTCTGCTCACTGTTGCTCTTAGACCCAGCTGCTGAGTCTTTGTAAATATGAGGACTCATTGTTGTGTGCACTGGATCAGGACAGAGACAAGATTGTCCCCAAGACTGACCCTTGAATCAGCATGGTGGGATCTTCTCTGAGAGATTATCATTGTGCATATGGGAAAGAGACGTGTTCATCTCGGGCTAAGCTGTAATGTCAGCATTATAGCTTCACACCGCGTGCCCCCTTCTCCTGACGACTTCCTGGCAGGGTCTGACCTCTCGCTCCAGCCAGAAAAAGAGAAGATCAGACAAAGCTCTCTTTATTTTTTACTGCTGAAGGACGAGGAAGGGAATGAAATAAGGACTGGAGAAACGTCTTAGTTTTTTCTCTCTTTCTGGGCCAGTGAAGAGAATGACACATAGGCCAAAGCTGTGGGCTCTACTGTGCAGTAGCTATTTTTCTCCCTCTTTGAAGATGATGAATCACCCAAACTCCAGCCAATGTGCTGGACATTAATAATTCATCAGATGACTATGGGAGTTTAAGAATATGTTGAGTGTTAAACATTCGCAGTGAGTCATCCCATACATTACGGCTAAGTGACGCCGCCTGACATTGTTTTCCTTCCAAGTCTCTTTTTGGCAAATTACACAGTTTTCAAATGGCCCGAACCAGATGTGAACAACGCATTGTTTGGCCAGCCTAAGCCAGTTTAAATCTCACCTTAAACTTTGCTGGGAATACAAATGAATCCAAGTAAAATTCAAGAGGCTTTCTCAGTGTCAGAGATGATATGATATGGAATACATATTTTAACAGTATACTACTGGAAAAGAGAAGCTATAAATAAGTTCATGATCCATTCACCAAAAATGTGTTAGACTGAAATGTATGACATTGAATGGATATTTGTGCAATATTTTTAAATTAAATCATAATGTACCTTAAATAGTGTCCATTAAAAAGACACCAGGTATAATAATATACAAGATGTAAATTACCTAATTGAAACCGTAAGCACAGCCTTAAAGTTCACACCATGGACAATAACTATAACTATAAAGTTTTAATAAGTTGTTACTAGTAATAGTTTTATGAAAATAGCTGTAACAAGCTATAACGGTAATGACAGAGATGAACTATCTTTTTTTTCCAGCTTATGAATGATAAAACGTTAGAACATTTAAGCAGCAGACAAAAAAACTGCAGCATGTAATAATGATGATACTATTTAATAATAATATTATTATTTAATATTTAATAATACTAATGAACACAAATATTATCATGCGTTGGTGCTGAGAGTTATCATTACTGGTTTGAACAGGCCAGAATATTTAGACTTTTGAATTTTTATTTTTATGAAATAAAACAGATATAAATAAACAAACAAACAAATAATTGTTTTGTTACTACATCTGCTGTTGTATGAGATTTGGCAAGAAGTAACAAAATGTTTTATAAAATCTTTTGAAACACTTGTATGTATGTGTGTGTGTGTGTGTGTGTGTGTGTGTGTGTGTACACAATAATAACAAAACATAAACAATGATAAGCCAAATGCTCTGTGTATGTATAGGCTATATTTTTAGTCCAAAGGTAAGAGGTGCGTGAGCACTGAGCAGGATCATACTTTCAGTGATAGACTGATGAGCACGACTCCATCTGCCCCTGCTGGTGGATGCTGGAAAATACACACTCATGCTGCAATAAGTATATTTTATAGTGTAGTGTTTGTGTTTGTGTATAAATACTAAATATAATATAACAGCAATTATTAAACAATTTCAGCATAATAAAATATTTCATGACATTTGATTATAGGCCCACAGTTCTCAACACACACAACTACTTCTTAAATAAACAAAATCAAATGAGCTTTAGCCATAACCAAGTGATTATTTAATGCCCACAATATATATTTTTTCTGTCTCTCACTAGAAATTAAATTATAGTTTGAAATAACTCTATTCACCCTGAACTATCAACAGAAGTAATTTAATTTATAGCCACCGGTGGGCACTGTTACTAAATATTTCTTAATATTAACTAAATGGCATGTCACATTTATTTATACAGTGTTTCATACAACAGATATAGTTTCAAAGCAGCCTCACAGGAATAAACTGGAAAACTATTTTGAATTTTTAATAAAACAATAGGGGTATTATGGCTATATGAAAAATAAATAAAATGAAATATGTTGCATTTAAAGAAGATTATTGCCCTCGTCTTCAACAGAGAGTAATTTTCAGTATTTTAGCACAATTTAGTGCAGTAGTGTTTCAAAAACACTACTATAGTTGGGCTACAGATGATTTGTAATTAAAATGCTTTGAAACAGGACAATAGCATCATGTATAGAACATAACCAAGCAAATATTAATGGACACAATGCCCCTTTCTTGGTAGAAATATACAAACAAATAATGTACAGTTTAAAAAAATAAAGATTCCAGACAGGGATTTTTGAAGTGATGCCATAGAAGAACCATTTTGGCTCCCCAAAGAACCTTTCAATAAACAATTTTTAAATAATCCCTTTTCTTAGTGTGAAGAACATATAGAACATAATATAAAGAATATTTTCCCAATATAAATAACTTTTTGTACAATGGAAAGATTCCATAGATGTCAAAGGTTTTTTATATAACCATATGTTCCAAATAAAAAAACTTTTTTTTTTAAGTGTGCTTATATAAATACATTTACTTTTAAAACCTCATGAAAGGCCATTTCATAAAGTATTTCCACCAGCCACCATTTGTAACTGTGCAATCGCTCTCTCTAGTGGCTGCAGGGAGACAGTACATTACATTGAGACCTGTGTGCAACTTCCCACAAAAATATGCCCCATGTCTGCATCTGATGTTTGCACAGCACACATTCA